TAAGTGGGTAAGTGACTTTCCTGGAGTCAGGGTCTGCAGCACAGGCCAGTTTCACAGCAGCTTCCATTGCTTCTGCGTAGTAAATACATTTACAGGCATGTATGAGCTAACATGTCCAGCCACAGTCTTGATTTTGTTATCAAAAATATCCATCAATTCACTAGAAGCCATGGCCACAAACAGCACACCTATCATTCATTTAAAAGTAAATATTTCTCAAGAGAACAGGAAGACAAACCATAGTCAGAGGAAAAATATTGACAAAGAACTTATTTGGTAAAGGACTGTTTGATCTAGGGATATAGTTCAGTGGTAAAGCAACTGCCTAGCATGCTCAAGGCCATGTGCAATCAATCCCCAGTACAGAAAAAAAAAGAAAAGAAAAGAAAAAAGAAAGAATTAATAAAGGAATGTTAACCAAAACATAAAAAGTTAAAAGTCAGTAAGGAGAAATAAGTCCAATGTTTAAATGAGCGAGAGATCTGAGGAGGCACCTCACTGAAGATGATACTAAGATGGTACGTGTATGGGACAAACAGTGGCATCACAGCAGTAAACCCCAAGGAGATGCTCCAACACGTGTATGAGAATGAACAAAAGGAGACTACTGCAGCATCAGATAGATGCTGGCGAGGAGGCAGAACAACACAAAGCTCATTCATAGCAACGGGAAGGCAAAGGAGACAGACTTGGATATCCAGTTAGCAGTTCCTAATGAAATCAAGCACAGTCACACAATCCCGCAATCACACTCCATTCAGTCAAAAGCTCATGTCCACACAAGCAAAGGCTATACATGGATACTCTAGCAACGCTGTTCAAAGAACCAAACAGTGAAGCAGTCATCACATCCTTCACTAGGTGGATGGGAAAAGTGTGGGATACCCAGGAAGTGGGCTATGATTCTATGATTAACAGTAAAAAGAGATGAGCTACCAAGCCATGAAAACTCATGGGGGGAGAGCCAGGCAGGTAGGCACTCAATGGGCTAAAACATGAAGAGCATACATGCAAATCCTGCTGGGGCTACAGAGCAAGTTCAAGACCAGAATGAGTAACTCAGTGAGACCCTCTATCAAAATACAAAGTAAAAAGAAGGCTAAGAACATGGCTCAGCTCACAGCCCGACACCATCACCCAAAAGACACGGACACACTTGTGGTACACCTCAGTAAGTGAAAGAAGACAGGATACATATTTTCAGATCTTAAATAGCGCTGCCTTTAAAAAGTAAAATCATTGACACAATGAAGGGACCACTGGTAGCAGAGGTTGGGGGAGAAGATCGAGCAGAGGTATAAATAGGAGGAACAAACAGCCTTGAGGACATTCTTACGGTGGAAGTGCTGTTTGTGAGTGTAAATGCTGCAAGGTTTATGTCACATAGTGACAAGCCGCCCTCCCTCCCAGCCTCTCCACACAGATGAGTCAATTCACGATTGTGTCACCTACATACAACAGACTCCCCTCCTTATGCTAACGTCTTCAACTTCTGACACTCAGGATGGGCTTTGGTTGGTTGGTTGGTTGGTTGGTTGGTTGGTTGGTTGGTTGGCTGGC